TTGATAGTTGTGACAGAACCCACAGGCATAACACCAGACACAAACATCTCTCAATTCCCCCTTTTCCGACTAAACCTTTACAAAAATTCAATGTATGTCAAAGGCCCTAAAATCTGGAAAACCTACCTGAGAACTCTAGAACTGCAGAACATTCATCACCTTCAAAACTACCATTAGAAAACATCTTATCTCCCTGATACACCCGTCAAAATAACTACACGAATACCACCTGGTGGTTCACACTTAAATCACTCACTCATTTGACCAAAACAGAAATATTAATCTCAATCTTAAAATAAGAATCCTGTGATACTCCAATACTGAAACTATGTACTGTGCCAAAACAAAAGCATTCACATTGCTAAACTCACAAACTAGTATTTAGTCACTTAGCCATAATACCAACTTACCTCATAATTTGTAATATTTTACAATTAAGAATAAAACTAAGTATGCCCGAAATGCCTAGCCATGCTAAGCGTTCTAGTGGTACACTCTGTAATCACAATTTTACTACATGTAAACCACACAATAACCAAATTTCTGTAAACTCAGCATTGTAATCCTTATAGAGAATAAACTTTGAATCTTATTGTGGCTAGCTGGTCTAGTGGCTAACGCGACGGGCTGGAGTTTTGAGACTCTATGACCGCGGGTTCAATCCCGGCCGGGTTGGTTTGTTTGCAATCGTGTCATTACGATTTCGTGAGTCAGGAGTGTCAGTGGTTTCTCTTTGTTGATGTTATGGGACGCACCTTCCAACACCATCAAAAAATGGAATTTTACTCACGATTTGTGTTCCATTGTTAATTATTAGGAAGTGTATGATTTTATCCAGTTCACGTTGAACTGGTATATTCACTTGGCAGCGCTAAATGCGTAGGGGTCATAGAGCATCTTAGAGTGGGAGGTAATCAGGTTTGATATCAACAGAGGGAATTAACTCTTCAGTTTCGTGGATCAAAAGCCTTTCCCCACCTTGAAGGGGTTTTATCATGCAAACAAACCTCTTAACTAATTTTTACCTGTTCAGCATATACCTCTGACTGAGGCCAAGCTTTCCTGTTGATCGCCTGGTCTGCCAGGCTGTTGGTGCTAGCGGCCAGCAGGGCCATCGTTTATTTCATGAATGAAGGTGCGTGCGCATCGCATAGATAACTTTTATTTGAGAGAGCTTCCCCCACCAGGGGCTTCTTCAATCCAAGACCCCTCTGGGTTTAGCCCTTGATTATGATAATAATAATTCTTCGATGCAAAGAAGTCTGCTCCAGCAGAACCAAAAGAGTTTATCTTAGGTTTCTTATCAAGGGCTCCTAGAATAAACAGACCTAATGTTGTGGAAGATTAGTGTCTTGACAGACTTTAACAGACCTTCACACACCTGTCCTCATTTTGCTGCCATCATCATAGAGGAGGAAGAAGAGAAGGACGGAGGGGAGGGAGCACAGGGAAAACACTTGAAAACATCATGACTCGATACTACAGTAGCTTCCCTTCTTGCAGTGTATCGGAGAATGCTTCTACGTTGCTGAAGGAAGCCAGTTACATCACCGCCAGGAGAGCTTCCAGTATGGCAGGATCCCTGGCTCACATGTTCCTCTGTACACGTCACTCTCCTGACGTGACAGTCAGGTCGTGCTACTCAGGCGACCGGAATGTCATCTTAAGTTGTGTCTGCAGATTGTGTTAGTTGTCAACATAACCGAGTGGTGTGTGTGGGGTTGGGGGGCTCGTGTGGGTGCTGTGTAGGGAAGCCAGTGGGGTGGGGGGCTCGTGTGGGTGCTGTGTAGGGAAGCCAGCAATGGCTTACACTCGGCTGTGTAATAAAATAGTGAAGCCCTACCAAGCCACAGTGTGGGTTCCTCTATTGACAGGGAGGGGAGTCATGTTTCAAGGTAAACACACTTTATCAACGCTAGCCGTCCCACCACACAGTGTTGTGTGGTTAACACTACCACCACACAGTGTTGTGTGGTTAACACTACCACCACACAGTGTTGTGTGGTTAACACTACCACCACACAGTGTTTGTGGTTACACTACACCACAAGTGTTGGTGTTAACACTACCACCACACAGTGTTGTGTGGTTAACACTACCGCCACACAGTGTTGTGTGGTTAACACTACCGCCACACAGTGTTGTGTGGTTAACACTACCGCCACACAGTGTTGTGTGGTTAACACTACCGCCACACAGTGTTGTGTGGTTAACACTACCGCCACACAGTGTTGTGTGGTTAACACTACCGCCACACAGTGTTGTGTGGTTAACACTACCGCCACACAGTGTTGTGTGGTTAACACTACCGCCACACAGTGTTGTGTGGTTAACACTACCGCCACACAGTGTTGTGTGGTTAACACTACCGCCACACAGTGTTGTGTGGTTAACACACAGTGTTGTGTGGTTAACACTACCACCACATAGTGTTGTGTGGTTAACACTACCACCACACAGTGTTGTGTGGTTAACACTACCACCACACAGTGTTGTGTTGTGTGGTTAACACTACCACCACACAGTGTTGTGTTGTGTGGTTAACACTACCACCACACAGTGTTGTGTGGTTAACACTACCACCACACAGTGTTGTGTGGTTAACACTACCACCACACAGTGTTGTGTGGTTAACACTACCACCACACAGTGTTGTGTGGTTAACACTACCACCACACAGTGTTGTGTGGTTAACACTACCACCACACAGTGTTGTGTGGTTAACACTACCATCACAGTGTTGTGTGGTTAACACTACCACCACACAGTGTTGTGTGGTTAACACTACCACCACACAGTGTTGTATGGTTAACACCACCACAGCCACATCTGTCACTGCTGTCAACACCACAGCCACACCTATCACTGCTGTCAACACCACAGCCACACCTATCAGCTGTCAACACCACGCCATCTATCACTGCTGTCAACACCACGGCCACATCTATCACTGCTGTCAACACCACGGCCACATCTGTCACTGCTGTCAACACCACGGCCACATCTGTCACTGCTGTCAACACCACGGCCACATCTGTCACTGCTGTCAACACCACGGCCACATCTGTCACTGCTGTCAACACCACGGCCACATCTGTCACTGCTGTCAACACCACGGCCACATCTGTCACTGCTGTCAACACCACGGCCACATCTGTCACTGCTGTCAACACCACGGCCACATCTGTCACTGCTGTCAACCCACGGCCACATCTGTCACTGCTGTCAACACCACGGCCACATCTGTCACTGCTGTCAACACCACGGCCACATCTGTCACTGCTGTCAACCCACGGCCACATCTGTCACTGCTGTCAACACCACGGCCACATCTGTCACTGCTGTCAACACCACGGCCACATCTGTCACTGCTGTCAACACCACGGCCACATCTGTCACTGCTGTCAACACCACGGCCACATCTGTCACTGCTGTCAACACCACGGCCACATCTGTCACTGCTGTCAACACCACGGCCACATCTGTCACTGCTGTCAACTCCACGGCCACATCTGTCACTGCTGTCAACTCCACGGCCACATCTGTCACTGCTGTCAACACCACGGCCACATCTGTCACTGCTGTCAACACCACAGCCACATCTGTCACTGCTGTCAACACCACGGCCACATCTGTCACTGCTGTCAACTCCACGGCCACATCTGTCACTGCTGTCAACACCACAGCCACATCTATCACTGCTGTCAACACCACAGCCACATCTATCACTGCTGTCAGCACCATCACATGTTTCATCACCTTCTAGGCTTGGGGAAAAACCCTATTGTTGTTGACTCGGTGGGGGGGGGGGGGGTGTAGTCGTCTGGACCTGCCGGGGGTTAGGCAAGGGGAAGTTCATCTGACTTAGTTGGGAACCTATTGTTCCTGTTTCTCTTTCCTGACGAGATTTTGTTTCTTCTATAATTCCCACCCGCATTTCATCAACACACATTTCTTGGAGACCTGGGTATGGCCCATAACAACCAAGCAAACTGGGCTAGGAATGTTGCAGGGGAAAAACTCCGGAGACTCGTCTAAGGTATGTAAAAAGTAAGGTAACCTCAACAACACCAGTAGGTATTATTAGTACAGTAACTATTTTTTAAAGGGGTAGAGGGGTAAGCTAGCAGAAAGTCTCGGTCAGATGACCAAAAGCGCCCCCTGCAGGTCATCATGCGACTTAGACCCGTGTCAGGAAATGCTGTTTCCTGACAAACCTTACTTAACCTAACCTAACCTAGCAACACCGACTCCTATCTCATACTATTGTTCCATAACATCACTCTGTATATTATAGGTCACCGGTGGTGATTGTAACTGCTATCGATGTTAGTATCGCAAGTAGGCGACTGTTAAAGTATAAACAAGAACATGTATTATGTAAAGTGTGGTCAAGTGTCTACTAGTGAAATCACTTAGTCTTAGGGTTTCCATTACTAGACATCCCATAGGGACTATGAGAAAAGTGGGGATATTGCAGTTTGTAGAAGCACAGGAGCTGTACACAAATAACCCGCACATAGAAGAGAGGAGCTTATGACGGCGTTTCAGTCCGACTTGGACCATTTACAAAGTCACACTTTGTAAATGGTCCAAGTCGGACCGAAATGTCGTAAGCTTCTCTCCTCTATGTGCGGGTTATTTGTGTATCGTTCCAGTCACGGTATTGTGCCTTTTTTTGTTATTCACAGGAGCTGTATTGTCAGTACTCCTCAGGCAAGACAATGATGGAATAAGTGATGGTGAAAGTCCTTCTTTTGAGTCACCTTACCTCAGTGGGAGACAGCCAGTATGTTTAAAAAAAAATTAATTCCCTGATTTTGTATTCCTTAACACTAGTAAAATGTCAATTTCTTTTTGTCACATAGGGAATGTATTAGTAGCTTTCTTTCACTAAAACATTCACACAGGCATTAATCATTTTTCCATGCTTAAGAAATAAGTCAAATACCTCATGAAGAGATTTTTTTCAAGTAACAAGTGTCTTTTTACCTTCGCAGGGAGCCAGAATGGTAAGAAACCAAAAAAAAGCATCTTCCGAACGCTATTCTGCTGTTGCGTTTCTGGAGAAAATGATTCAGGTGGTGCAGCCAATGGGGTGTGTGTGTCCGAAGATGTACCTCCCTATACCCATTTACCGCAGCCTCCAGGGCCACAGCGACACCTCCTGCCATCCATCAGTCATCGAGACATGCACAAGAAGTGCATGGTTATTGACCTCGATGAAACGCTTGTTCACTCTTCATTCAAGGTTAGTGGCTCTTATTAACTCATGAATAAACATATACATACTAGATATTATTACAATAGTGTATTATGGAAGGAATGTATATGTTGGATCACCAGATGAAGAGATGGTTGAGGCAGACACCACATACAGTCACCAGAGTGGGTGTGTTTGGACCCTGGAGTTCAGGAATTGGTAAAGCCACTCGATAGGGGTTAAGATGAGGGGTAAGGAGACATGACTCAACTCAATTTGTGATACAGTATTTATGCTAAAAAAAATATGGTTGAGTGCTTATGTAAGAGGCAGAATTTAGACAAGGCACATACACTGTTGGGGTGTGAGCAGAGTAACATTTCTTTAAGGGATTCAGGGAAACTAGTTAGTTGAACTTTACTGTTGGAGGTGGGAGGTACTACAGTGCCTGTACTCTGATAAAGGTCTGGTGATGTTGCTGTTCAGAGGCATCATTTGAATTCTGATGTATGCACACACATTTGGCAAGACAGTATTTAATAAATGGTGGTGAATGTGTTTCCTTTTTTTGGATAATCCTACCTTAGTAGGCAGTGGTCAATATACAAAAAAAGGTACGTACAGTAGGACCCCTGTATCCACGGTGGATACGTTCCAAGGACCTGTTGTGGATACCAGAACCGTGGATAGTAGCAATCCCTATATATAAGTCCCGTATATACCAATTATGAAGTTTAATTGATAAATTATGCACAAGTGGAGAATTATCACGTTTTCACTGATGGGAATCACTTCACAGCTTCTCATAGGCTTTGAAGAACTGACAGCTTTTCTACTTTGGGGCCATTATTATGCAAAATTAAGAGGTATTTTTGGGCCACAGTAAACAATGGATAACTGAAACCGTGGATACAGAATCAGTGGATACAGGGGTTCTACTGTATTGTACTGTATATAGTACTTAAATGAAAGCATTAAGAATAAGTAAGGGATTAAAAGATAATAAATATTTTATGAAGTGCGAATTGTCACAGTTACTCTTTGCTGATGACACAGTGCTGCTGGGAGATTCAAATGAGAAGCTGTAAAAGTTAGTGAAGCACTTGAGAGATGTTTCTATTACCATCAAGTTCAAAGTGAACGTAGAAAAGGACACATTGATGAGAGAGACATCTAGGCATTGAAACCTTAGATGTTAGATTTACACAGTGTGAGAAGTGAGTGTACAGATATTAAAATTCACTACTGTAGAGTGTATTTATCATCAGATGTATTTGACAATGATGATGAAAGTATTTTCTTTTTGGGGATTTTCTTTCTTTTTTGGGTCACCCTGCCTCGGTGGGAGACGGCCGACTTGTTGAAAAAAAAAAAAAAAAAGTATTTGACAATTAATAATTCTGATTTTTTAAACCTAATATAAAGTGTATAATAGAAGAAAATGATGTTGAGTTGGGGTTACAATAAAGTTTTACAGCTTATACTTAATATAACAGTATACTGTATATTATAAAACTCAATGTTAGAATAGTTTACTTGGAAGTAATAGCAGTATACCAATCTTCATTGCTACTTTTATATAGAGTAGTATTTTCTTGGATGCCCTAAATTTTAAGTTTTTTATTTTATATAACCGTACTGTATTGCATTATAATGATCTTTTCTTTTTTTTTCCAGCCAATTAGTAATGCCGACTTCATAGTTCCTGTTGAAATAGATGGAACCATCCACCAAGTTTATGTTTTAAAACGACCCTTCGTGGATGACTTTTTACAAAAGATGGGAGAGCTGTATGAATGTGTGCTCTTCACAGCCAGTCTAGCCAAGGTAAGTTTACTATGAAACATTACACCTTCAGTTATTATGAAGGAGCATGTATACACTGTATGCCTTCTTTTCGGTGTTCCACGTTTTCACCATTGTTCATTACATTCCATTCACCGGCGATAGTCACCAGTGGGTGGAACAGTGGCTCAGTTGAGAGCCAACAGAAATGTGGAACACTGAAAATAGGCGCTGTATATGCGGGTCTCTCTTACTGTGCATTGTATTGTGTATCACTGTCTAGCAAGATAGCATCCATTATGGTGTATGTGCCAGTTTTGGGGTGGCAATCCCAGTTCTGGCGGGTTCATTGCCCTCTATATTAAACTACGTTTCACTCTAAACAGAACATAATGAAGCTCTTTTTAGAGTAAAATGTTGTTTATAATTGAAGGTTTGCTCGGCACATAATGTCTTTCTACTATGGAGGGCTCTTCTAGTCGGGGGTGTTGTTATAACAAGAGTGACACGATCCGTGGATACCTCGGACAGAGATGAGTCTGTAACGGCTGCCAGTTACACAGAGAGGAGACTCATGAGTTGCAGGTTGTGAGAGCAACCAACTCACTGATAACATAAACAGCCTGTGTTCTACCAGCAGCACACTGCTGAATGTTCCCTCAAAGTTGCATAACAGCAGCTTTATTTCACTTTCTCTGAAGCTATGTTACGTCCCTCAGCCCCGAGGAGGAAGCCTCCTGTTAAATGTACATCATATTGTTATGATACCAGGGAAGAAACCTGTTATGCATCACATTGTTATGATCTCATGGAGGAAAAACCTTCTGTTATACATCACATTGTTATGATCTTAGGGAGGAAAAACCTTCTGTTATACATCACATTGTTATGATCTTAGGGAGGAAAAACCTTCTGTTATACATCACATTGTTATGATCTTAGGGAGGAAAAACCTTCTGTTATACATCACATTGTTATGATCTTAGGGAGGAAAAACCTTCTGTTATACATCACATTGTTATGATCCCAGGGAGGAAAAACCTTCTGTTATACATCACATTGTTATGATCCCAGGGAGGAAAAACCTTCTGTTATACATCACATTGTTATGATCCCAGGGAGGAAAAACCTTCTGTTATACATCACATTGTTATGATCCCAGGGAGGAAAAACCTTCTGTTATACATCACATTGTTATGATCCCAGGGAGGAAAAACCTTCTGTTATACATCACATTGTTATGATCCCAGGGAGGAAAAAACCTTCTGTTATACATCACATTGTTATGATCCCAGGGAGGAAAAACCTTCTGTTATACATCACATTGTTATGATCCCAGGGAGGAAAAACCTTCTGTTATACATCACATTGTTATGATCCCAGGGAGGAAAAACCTTCTGTTATACATCACATTGTTATGATCCCAGGGAGGAAAAACCTTCTGTTATACATCACGAGCTTTAAAAAGTATCATGGCAATTGCAGCTATTGTGTGTAGTGGATATGTACAGCTAGTGGTGTAGGTCATTAAACCTGCCAAGGTGGCAATTCACTGCTCAGGTTGTGACTATATGTGTGGGTTTGATACAGTAATATCATGTGACATTTTTGAATATGGTGTCTATATACAGGAGGACCCTGCTTATACAGCAGGTTAGGTTCCAGGCTACCACTTTAAAGCAAAATGGCTGTAAAGTGAATCAGCTTTTTTTCCACTTTTGAATGCATGTAAAAGCATGTTAGATAGGAGTGAATAGAGATGAAAAGTTTTTGGGACTTCATGAGCTGTTGGAGTGTGAGCAGAGTAATATTTTGTGAAGGGACTCAGGGAAACCAGTTAGCCGGACCTGAGTCCCAGAAATGGGAAGTACAATGCCTGCACTTTAAAGGAGGGGTTCGGGATATTGGCAGTTTGGAGGGACGTCTAGGTTATCGTATCCGAGCACCTCTGCAAAGACAGTGATTATGTATGAGTGATGGTGAAAGTGTTGAACGATGATGAGTTTTTTTCTTTCTTTCTTTCTTTTTGGGTCACCTTTCCTCAGTGGGAAACAGCCGACGTGTTAAAAAAAATAAAAAGTAAAAGCCTGATAGCATGTTGACACTATCAATAGCGATAGGTCTTAAAAAAATGCATGTACATTACACACCTTGCTTACCTTAAAATATTTTTGTCCTTAGCTTATAGTGAGTGGTGAATATATTTATTGTAGGAAGTCTGAATAAATGAAGAATGGGTATATGAAAACTGCTGCATTAGCAGAACACTGTAGTGTGAAGTGCTGTAAAGCGGGGCGTGCCTGTATTAGTGCACTTATCACCACAGTGGTATGTACAGCAGGTTTACAACAGTGTACATCTGAGTTATGTATTCACACAAATTAGGTCTTCAGGAAACAGTACTATTTTTTTTTTTAAATCCAAAACATTTATGAAGGGATTCAGGGAAACCGGCAGGCCGGACTTGAGTCCTGGAGATGGGAAGTACAGTGCCTGCACTCTGAAGGAGGGGTGTTAATGTTGCAGTTTAAAAACTGTAGTGTAAAGCACCCTTCTGGCAAGACAGTGATGGAGTGAATGATGGTGAAAGTTTTTCTTTTTCGGGCCACCCTGCCTTGGTGGGAATCGGCCAGTGTGATAATAAAAAAAAAAAAAACTTATTGGCAGTTATGAATGTGTGTGAGATATACCATACTTATAAAGTTGCTGGTAAGTTGGAACAATGGGAATGCAATGCTTCCTCTAGTTGGGAATCCCCTGTATTCAAGTTATTTTTTGTATTTATACTGATTGTATTGTAAACAAACCATACCACGGGCGGGATTGAATCCGCGGTCAGAGAGTCTCAAAACTCCAGACCGTCGCATTAGCCACTGGACCAGCTAGCTGGTCCAGTGGCTTTGAGACTCTCTGACCGCGGGTTCAATCCCGCCCATGGTATGGTTTGTTTGCAATCGTGTCATTACGATTTCGTGAGTCATGATTGTATTGTACTTTACAAAGTATACAATATTAATTTTCAGTATGCTGATCCAGTAGCAAATCTTCTGGACAAATGGGGAGTGTTCCGCGCACGGCTGTTCCGGGAATCCTGCGTCTTCCACCGAGGCAATTACGTCAAAGATCTAAGTCGCTTAGGCCGGGATCTTCATAAAGTTGTAATAATGGACAATTCACCAGCATCATACATCTTCCATCCCGACAATGCTGTGAGTTATGATCTTTATGTTGACATTCTCTACATGTTGTCTGATCCAACCTATTTTTTTGATAAAGAAATGAAAAGAAATGTTAATTAATAAGGTAGTGCGTATAACAGTGTAAAATGAGAAAGTACAGTGGTACCTCAGTACCTGAACCTAATTCATTCCAGAAGGCTGTTCGAGTACCGATCTGTTCAAGTACTGAACAGGTTTTTCCAAAGCAATTTTCTTTTTGGAAGGTTGTTATCACTAGTCTTCTTAGGCCCCATGGTGACTTACTTATACAAATAATATAAAAAACACCAAAAAATGCGACGAAACACGAAATAGTTTACAGCGAAGTTCTGGCAGGTCGTGTTTGTTTGGTCAAGTGCCGAGCAAATGGTCAACTACTGAGCGATTTTTTTTTTTTTTTTTTTACCGAACAGTGTGTTTGAATGCCAAATTGATTGAGTAGGGAGCTGTTCGAGTACCGAGGTTCCACTGTACTTTTTCCCCTGATGACTGAATAATGATAGGAATGTCTTTTTGTATAAAGGTTAAGGGATTAAGGTTCCCTGTAAAGACTACAGAGAAGACAGCTTTTTTTTAGTACAGTTGGTAAGGTATATGGCAGAATATTTAACCCTTTGACTGTCAATGTCGTATATATACATCTTACGAGGTACCGTGTTTGACGTATATATACTCATAAATTCTAGCGGCTTCAAATCAAGCAGGAGAAAGCTGGTAGGCCCACATGTGAGAGAATGGGTCTGTGTGGTCAGTGTGCACCATATAAAAAAAATCCTGGAGCACGCAGTGCATAATGAGAAAAAAAACTCTGACCGTTTTTTTTTTTAATTAAAATGCCAACTTTGTGGTCTATTTTCATATAGTATTTATGGTTGTATTCTCGTTTTCTTGGTCTCGTTTGATAGAATGGAAAACATATTATAGAAATAGAGGTGATTTTGATTGATTTTACTATAAAAAGAACCTGGAAATGGAGCTCAAAGTAGGGGAAATGTTTGATTTTTGCCGATGTTCAAAAGTAAACAAATGATGTCATTGTCCAATAAATGTCCAACTAGCCATTCTAATATGCAGTCATGAATGGGTTGATGTTATTTATACAATTATTACAGTATTGCAGTAGTCTGCATAACAGTAAATCTTCTATTTTTTGTTTGAATAAAAATTCAAAATAGAAAGCAAGAGTAATATCAGAGGGGCCTGGAGACATGACTGATGAACAAAGAAAATGTTATTTTAGAATGTCTGCATTGTTCGTTCTGGACCTTATTTTGAAATTGTCATATTTTTTAATTTTCGTGAAATTGGCCAAATTGCAAATTTCTGACCACGTTATTGGGTAGTTGAAATCGGTAAATGGGCAGTTTCTTGTACTCAATCGATAGAAAAAATGGAGTTCTAAAGAAATAGCTATGAGTTTGGTCGACTGGAACAATGGAATTAGCCGAAAATAGGGCTCAAAGTGGGCGAAATCGCTAATTTGTAAATATCGCTGAGGTCGCTAACTTCACGAGAGTGTAATTCCATCAGTTTTCCATCAAATTTCGTGTTTTTGGTGTCATTACAATCGGGAAAAGATTCTCTATCATTTCATAAGAAAATAATAATTTTTTTTTTTAATTTTGCAACACCAGGAGACACTTCAGGATTGGGGGTTGCGACAGTCAAGGGGTTAATATTAAATTGTAGGGAATACTATATTTTGATGTTAACAATTTAATAGCTTTTTATGACTCATGAAATTGTGATAACATAATTGCAAATAAGCCACGAAACAGGTGGGGATTAAACCCATGGTGAATGAGTGGTAAAATTCCAAGCCAGTACAGGAAGGCCCCACTTATATGGCGGGTTAGGTTCCAGGCTACCGCCGTAAAGCGGAAACCGCCGTAAAGTGGAACACCCTTTTTTTCCACTTACAAATGCATACAAACACTAGATAACAAGTTTACACTAACATATATTATGTTAGCAATAGAACCAGGCATCAAAAAACAATAAAAAAGTACAATACACACATAGTGCACTCATTACTTACCTTAAAATATTTATAGTCTTAATCTAGGGTGAGACAAGTAGTATTTATTGTAAGAAATCAAGTGTGGTATGTATTGTAATAGCCAGGCTACCTCACCAGGCCACCCCACCCACACATACTATTCTATGATATTTAAGCATCCCAGAGCGATAAAATGTATATACAGTTCACTCATTACTTACCTTAAAATATTTGTAGTCTTAATGTAGGGTCAGGAGTAAGTAAATGAGATAAAACGAATAAATGAGAGAGAGAAAGAATGAGTACATGAGAGGTAACAGGCGCAGAGTTATGTAAACAAACCAGGCTCCCACATCTTATATTTATGTTTATTTATTTCTATTGTGGGGTGTATTTATCATCTTTTTATGTTATGTATCGTGTTTATTATATAATTTTGAAAAAAATATCATGGATGGATTAATGAAAATGTGTATATTACCGTAATATACGACATTTAATGAGACTCGGTGACTATTGTTATTATCACCACTTGTGGAAGTCGTCTGCTACCACAGCTCACATTTATGTTTATTTATTCTACTGTGGGGTGTATTTATCTTATTTATATGTTATGCATCGTGTTTATTATATAATTTTGAAAAAAATATCATGGATGGATTAATGAAAATGTGTATATTACCGTAATATACGACATTTAATGAGACTCGGTGAGTATTGTTATTATGGGGTCACTTGTGGAAGTCGTCTGCTCACATCTCACATTTATGTTTATTTATTCTACTGTGGGGTGTATTTATCTTATTTATATGTTATGCATCGTGTTTATTATATAATTTTGAAAAAAATATCATGGATGGATTAATGAAAATGTGTATATTAACGTAATATACGACATTTAAATGACTCGATGTATGTAAGTTTATTTAGGTACAGGTATACATAAGTATAATTATCAGAGTATATATAAAATATGAAATAACTTTTAAAAACATTTGAAATTTTGGAGTTTCCAGACAAAATGGAGAGACTTAGTGCTTACTGAGCTCATGGAGAATGTAAACAAACAGGATGGGGCACGGTGACCGTATTAGAAAGTCAGGTGGGGGGAGCCGTATAGAGAGTTTTGGTCATAATTTGAAATGTCCGTATTAGCGGAACGCCGTAAAGTGAAACGCCGTAAAGCGGGGCCTTCCTGTACGTAAGCCACTGGGCCAGCTGGTTACAATAAGATTTATCCAACTAGGTATATTTATACACCATAGGGAGGTTTGTGATGAATGGTTTTGAAAACAGAGAAGTTGAAGAATTGAGACACTTATACAACATATGGGAATCTTTATTGAAGAAACGTTTCGCCACACAGTGGCTTCGTCAGTCCAGTACAAAGTAGAAATGGGTAAGGAGAGGAGTTTGAGGTAATCAGTCCCTCAACCTGGAATCAATGGACTGAACACATCGATTCCAGGTTGAGGGACTGATTACCTCAAACTCCTCCTTTCCTTACCCATTTCTACTTTGTATTGGACTGATGAAGCCACTGTGTGGCAAAACATTTCTTCAATAAAGATTCCCATATGTTGCAAAAGTGTCTCGATTCATAGGGAGGTTAGCATGGGCCACTGCTGTGACCACAAATGCAAGTTTTTACAGACAAATCTCCTGCAAGCCTGGCTGTTAGTTTAGTGTGATATATATGATTGATTTTTATTTTCTCGGGTTGTTTGCTTGTGAGTGGTAGCACAGTACAAATAACCATTATCTACCTGTTGTGTACGAGTGTGATGAGTGTACATTTTTTTTTTTTTTCAACAAGTCGGCCGCCTCCCACCGAGGCAGGGTGACCCAAAAAAGAAAGAAAATACCCTCATCATCACTCAACACCCCCACCACACTCACACACTATCACTGAACATTTTTTATTAGGATAAAAGCACAGAGGGATCTCACAGGTTAAAGTGTATGGTCACTATTAAAACATCATCTCTTTATGAAGATGTGTCTAGAATGTAATGATGCCAAGTTGATATCTCGTGTAACCCAGTTGCTTTATTTTATCTAGTACTGGTTGTTGTATTACTTTCTTAGTTTTTACAATAGGTTTTATTTAATTTAGCTAATGTAGTTTTAACATTGGCATGTCAAAATAAATTTCTTAAACAATTATACTTTCAAGATTCTTGCTTAATATTTCACACTTCTTTAATTCAGCATTTTATTACAAAATTAATCATTATTCCAGGATTTACACTAATTTACTCCATGAATTTAAATAAGACTTGTATTCAAACTGAATTTTTCTACTATTACTTTTGAAAAAATTGTGCTTATTCTTATGTTTACAAGGAGTATGTTCTTGTGGCCAGTTTTAATTTTTTTTTATTAACACATTGGCTGTCTCCCACCAAAGGTAGGGTGGCCTGAAAAACCAAAACTTTCATCATCATTCACTCTATCACTGTCTTGCAAGAGGTGCACTTACACTGCAGTTATAAAACTGCAACATTAACACCCCTCCCTCAGAGTGCAGGCACTGTACTTCTGGACTCGAGTCCGGCCTGTTGGTTTCCCAGAATCCCTTCGTAAATGTTACCTTGCTCACACTCCAACAGCATGTCAAGTCCTAAAAATCATTTGTCTCCATTCGCTCCTATCTAACATGCTCATGCATGCTTACTGGAAGCCCAAGCCCCTTGCACACAAAGCCTCTTTTACCCTCTCCCTCCAACCTTTCCTAGGCTGACCCCTACCCTGCCTTCCCTCCACTACAGATTTATACTCTTGAAATAATTCTATCCTCTCTACATGTCCAAACCATCTCAACAACCCTCTGGATAATAGTTTTGGTAATACCATACCTCCTCCTAATTTCCAAACTACGAATTCTCTGCATTATATTTACACCACACATTCTCCTTGTTGCAACATTCACAACCCATGCCTCACACCCATACAAGAGTGTTGGTATAACTATACTCTCATACATTCTCCTCTTTGCTTCCATGGACAAAGTTCTTTGTCTCCACAGACTTCTAAGTGCACCACTCGCCTTTTTCCCCTTATAAATTCTATGATTCACCTGATCTTTCATAGACCCATCTGCTGACACATCCATTCCTAAATATCTGAATACATTCACCTCCTCTATACTCTCTCCCTCAAATCTGATATCCATCTTTTGTTACCTTTTTTTTTTTTTTTTTTGTTATCCTCATCACCTTACTCTTCCCTATGTTCACTTATAATTTCCTTCTTGTACATACAGTACCAAACTCATCAACCAACCTCTGCAACTTCTCTTCAGAATCTCCCAAAAGCACAGTGTCATCAGCAAAGAGCAACTGTGACAACTCTCACTTTGTGTTAGATTCTTTATCTTTCAGCCCCACACCTCTTGCCAACACCCCAGCATTCACTTCTCTTACAACCCCATCTGTAAATATATTAAACAACCACGGTGACATCACACATCCTTGTCTAAGGCCTACTTTTACTGGGAAATAATCTCCCTCTCTCCTACATACTCTAACCTGAGCCTCACTATCCTCGTAAAAACCCTTCACTACTTTTGATAACCTACCTCCTATTCCATACATTTGCAACATCTGCCACATTGCCTCTCTGTCCACCGAGTTTGAATATATCATGTATTTTGAGGTTAATATCGGTGCCTCTCAGGCAAGACAGTGATAGAGAGAGTGATGATAAAAGTGTTTCTTCTTTGTTTTGGGCATGCTTACACTACAGTTATAAAACTGCAGCGCCACACCCCTCCTTCACAGTGCCGGCACTGTATTTCCCATCTCCAGGAATTAAGTCTGGCCTGCCAGTTTCCCTGAATCCCTTCATAATTGGTCACAGATGTAAGCGGAAATACTGGTGTCCCTTGTTTTATGCTGTTAATATGTTCCTGGCCCTTAGAATTTATGTTCAGGCTCAGTCAGGCCATAAACACTTCAGTTATGCATATTTGAAATATTCAGTGTGCTTTGTGAACCATGCTGATTGTATACGGTGACTGTAAATCACATGCTGTATATAGAATTACCTATAGAAATAGGACAATCACATACACTAATGGCAAATATGCATAAAGTAAGAGAGACTTGTATACATTACTTATCTTATCCTTTGTTTTACTCTCCATATGAGTTTATTTGCACCATCTATAAAGCTGACTAATTATGTGTATCTTATTGGATTTTTTTTTACAGGTTCCTGTTTCATCTTGGTTTGATGACATGAGTGACTCTGAACTTATGGACCTTGTTCCATTTCTGGAAACTCTGAGTAAGGTGGATAATGTGTACAGTGTGCTTCGCAACTGCAACAATCCACTCAATTCACAGACTCCTCCTCAGCAGCAGCAAGGAAGTCAAGTTCTTCCACAAATAACCCAGGGACCCATGACGCAAGTCCAGCAGTCGCTTCCACCACTTATTTCACAGCAGCAGCAGCAGCAGCAGCAGCCACAAGAACAACAGCAGCAGCAACAACAGTATCAGAAAGATTATGAAGAGACCAAGGATGGTCCATCATGAGGAAAGGGAATGACCACCAGGCAGGACATACTGGAGGAAACCGACACACTAGTAAAGTGAATTCTCTCTACACTCCTGCCAGCCCCCACCTTCCCGACCCCTTCAGCCACCACTGCAACCACTGCCCACTTATTCGTTTCTCCAACCCTCCAAACCTGGCCCCCTCCAGGGTACTCTGGGCTTGGGGACTTCACAGCGCACCGGTTGCCGGGACTGAATGAAACTGATGGTACTGCCACTTATATTACAGTCACCATCCCAAGTACTGGGGAGTGTGATAGGCGGTAAAAATAGCCAGTTAGGTCTGGAACTAGTCGGGGATGTAAGTGGAACTATGAGGACTGGAGTCCCTAAAAGGGTGACTGTGTATCACCATTATGGGTTCAGATGGTGATTAGGTGACAGCCAGTGGTAGACAGTCTTGTGTCCAACACCTGAGCATACCTATCCACACCAGCCCTCGTATTTAATTGGAGGCAAGTATTTGACGCTGCCAGTACGTGAAGAACTTTTTTTTTGTGTTAATGTTGCTGGGCATTTGCTCAGCAGGAGTTTATCAGATAAGTGCCAAGATGAGACTCGCACTCAGTGTCATCATATCATGGAATGCTGTATATTATAGCAGTCATACTTTAAACTGTATGATGTTATGCAGCTGTTAATTTTAAAGATTTTTACCTAAGACTTAGAGGCATAGTTTGTGTGCTTTACTATTTTCTGAACAAAAAAGATTTTGTGTGCCAATGCCGAGTTTTCTCATGTTTTTATTTTCCAGTCACCATTATGGACAGTGGACATTCTACTGTCATTGTTTTGATATTCATTCTAGGTTTCTAGGATACCCCAGTAATGCCTAACCTCCATCCTTGCTTAGTTTGTCCGTTATTCTGTTAGAGTAGCTGTCACACTGTTGATGCTGGGTTATGTAGGGTGATTGGGGCTACTAATTGTTTGGAAGCGGGAATGGGCGGGTAGCCTAATGGTTGGTCGGCTGGCGAATGCAAAGGCACCACCATAAAATAGGCAGTATCACTGCAGTCGTAAATGAAAGGTATTTAAGGCAGCAGGTCACATGCTCGTCAGCTTCCAAAACAGACGTCCAATAGCTAACATGGCCTTTTTTCTTGAATGACTGGCTCCTCCCGTTGTCCATAATAATATTGTTATATAGGTATAGCCAAGACTTGTATATAAATATATATATAATATATATATATAATTATATATATAATCTAATTGTATTTTTCATTTTTCTGAGAGACGGCCTGTGTGCTGAAAACAATAAATTATATATATATATATATATATATATATATATATATATATATATAATATATATATATATATATATATATATATATATATATATATATATATATATATATATGATATGTATATATATGTATGTATATGTATGTATATATATGTATGTATATGTATGTATATATATGTATGTATATGTATGTATATATATGTATGTATATGTATGTATATATATGTATGTATATGTATGTATGTATATATATGTATGTATATGTATGTATGTGATATGTATGTATATATATGTAATGTATGTATAGTATGTTTATATATATGTATATATATGTATATAATATGTATATATATGTATATATATGTATATATATATATATATATATATGTGTGTATATATATGTTTATATATATATGTGTATATATATATGTGCTAATATATTGTGTATTATGATATTGTGTTTATAATAAAAATAAATATAATATTATTATATATATCTATATATATATTATATATTAATATAGATATATATCATTATTATTTTATTTCACTTGGGCTTATGATGTTTTCATTACTGATGGTTTTTGTTTAAAAAAAAAATTGCAATATTTTTATCATTATCTAAATAAAGTTATAGTCTTTTGCACATTATCTCTACAGAGTGAACTGTAGATGGTAGTGTTGCTAGATTTTGTAAGTGTGAGAGAGATGCATTGGTGCTGTAAATGTAACTGTTTTCTGTGATATGGGAAAACCTTGGACAAAGACAAGTGGGAGGAGAGAAGATGGCTCAAGATGTGGCTCATTGTGCAACTCTTAAGGGGATGGAAGGAGAGACCGAGAGAATTCTGCATTCACCAAATTACCCAAGTCCGTAAAAGGGCAGTCGAGTCGAAAGTTCCCCGTCTTGGCATTCCGCATGAAGGCAGGATCTTTTTTCTTTTGTTTTTTAGGGAAATTCAGTAATAATGTGAATATTGTGGGTTATACTCTTTCATTCCCTCCATCAATAGTAGTGTGGCTCATTTTAGCCTCCCGGTGAACCACAACCTTAGGAAAGTGGTAGGCAGTGCTGCCTGTAACCTGACCTAACTCGGGGTGATGTCTTTCACATGCCACTTGTGTCAAGTGTGTCTGTGTGGCAGACTGCTGGTAGACTTCCCAGCTAAGCCAATATTGAAGCGAGTTCGATTGCAACCAGTAATGCGGGTGAGTAACAAAGCTCGATGAAACTCATCTCTGTTCCTCCAATCTCACTTTTCGTAACCCGTCACGACTAGCGTCGTGATCTGCTGACCTTGTGTAACTGTCTTGCCTGCCCAACCCCAGATATTACACGATAAAGTTCTCTCTAAACCAACAGCCCTAAACCCACGGTCAACACCTACCCTTGACTCCGAAAATTATTGCCAATTGTCAGTTATCATAAACCTTCTTTTAGCCATTTACATATTTTGGACATTTAATATAATTTTTTCCTAATTGTTTTGAGCAATGGTAGTAGAATTGATCATTTATAAAGGTTAGTAATTTTTACTTCATTTACATTTATTTGCACTAATCTAGAAATTTTAGTAATGTTATATATAATATATATAATATATAATGTATATATATATATATATATTATAAATATTTTCGGAAGCAAAGCTTTATTGTTTTTTGTAAATAAACAGATTTTCATATGATCAAAGAATTGTATATGTGATTAACATGTATGGGAGGTTTTTGAATGCGGTAGGTGTTCTTCCTGGTTGGTTTGGGTCAGTGGGAGGAGGGAGCAGTACGCATTGTTGTTGAACGACGCTCTTGTGTACATAGACTCAAGTACAGTACTCAGTTGCAGGCCTTAGCATGTACATTATCTGGCTGAGGCGTCTGCAGCATAACTTGTAGCAACTTTTCTCAATATGTACAGTACAGTGGCCTTATTATTGTTAATGTTTAAACACTATGTTTTTTACTGAAATGGATTCTTTAGAGATTAGATTATATACGAATGACGATAATAGTATGTTTAATAATATCTGTGCAAGATAGTGGAAGCGTATGCTTCTCCGAGTAGCTCCTTTTTATGGCAGTTGAAATGGCAGTATGTACTATTTTTTATTTGTTTACTGTTATAAAGGAGCACTTTTATTGAATGTCTTACAAAAAAAGCATTTATTGAGGATTTAAGAGTTTGTATTTGAAGTTTGGTTGAACAATCAAAATGTTTAATGTTAATGGCAGAGTTTAAAAGTTTAAATAAAGACATCTGCAAAAAGAGACATTGAAATTAATGATCGAGTTTTGGAACAGGGGCAGAGGGGCATTAATGCTGACTATGATTTTTCAGGTGTTGAAATTTCTAATGCAATGAGTATAAAAGAAGTCTTTGAAAAATTCATGTAGGCATTGCCCATCTTCACATTGGTGGATGTAGTGTGCAGAGTGTAGTACTGTTGCTAGAAGCGATGTAGATCGTGTAAACTTGTACTAATGCAGTGTACAGTAGCGTTTATCGAGTAACACTGTCATGTTCAGCCTCTGCATGTGCCACCACAGTGGAGAAATAATTTGTAATGTATTACATCAGTGTAAATTTGGCATGAATTTTAATGTGCGACAAGCAGTAGAGAAAATGTATGTGCTGTCAAGATTCTTGTATCGTGAAAATGGTGTGCGTTCGTCATTTACCTTGGTTGTGTGAGCGCTGCTTTTGTTATCTCCAAAATTTGTGTGTGTGACAGTAGTGATCTTCAAAATTTGTTTATGTGACAGTAGTGACAATGTCTTCCTAAATCCATAATGTGTTTTAGATGCCCTTGTTTCACAACTCGATATTGTCAAGCTCAAGCCTCATTGCAATCACCCGGGATCAAAATTAATCGCAGGGTGTTTTCCCTTGTTTCTTGCCTTATGTAACAAATAACAGCAACATTGTCATGTAGAGCGTACTTTGGTCACAAGATGTTTTATACTGATAAATTCTATGACACTTCACTGTACAAAGTGATTTATAAAAAATTTAATATTTCCTCTTCAGACACAAGTTTACATGTAAAGGAAATAAACTTGTTTAATATTTATTATTTATCCATACACACCTGAAATTAGCATAAAAATCATCTATGTTAAGAAGAAGCAGAATAACCATGAATGAGAAGGAACCAACTCGGCTGTGGAACTCCAGGAATGCCTGGCCTTAAGGTAAGGAAAGGTACATAAAGTATAAGGAACATGTACAAGCCACATATAGTACAAGGAACATATAGCACAAAGAACATATAGCACAAGGAACATATAGCACAAGGAACATAATACAGCTTCTCCTCACTTAACGACAAAGTTCCGTTCCTAAGACCACATTGGTAAACAAATTTGTCACTAAGCAAGGAGCATACTATAATGGTAGTGGGTTTGTGTCAACCATCTTTGATATTGTTTTAATGTCACCTTTGCACCATTTATAACATTTTTAGTATTTTAAATTTTATACAGTAGTGTACTGTACATTGTAATTAGCAGAATAGAGGAAATCATCACTAATATACATTATTTAGGTGCATGCATACTGGTCTGAGCCCGTCGTAAGTCCGAGTCGTCGATAAACGAGTGGTCAGTCAGTGGTCAGTCGTCAGTGGTCAGTCGTCACGTGAGGTCACAGACCCTGAGCTGCTTTGGGGATTAGCGTGGACGGTTACAAAGCATGGCTTGCTTCTGCAGTGTTTTAAAAATTGAGGTTGGAGAGTTGAAGGAGGAGGTCTTGCTTCTCCAGGAGGAGATTAGGAGGCTGAAGGTCCACCTCAATGGGTCTGGGAGAGAGTGTGAGGTGGCTGGAGTTGTGGGAAATGAGGCTTCTAGCAGTAAGGTGCAGTCTGTCTCTCGCTGTGAGGAGGCTGTAGTTGGGGAGGTAGCAACGGCTACCAGCAGTGAGGTGCAGCCCAGCACCTGCTACAAGTGGCAAGTGGTTCACAGTAATGGGAGGCGCATCAGAGTAAGGAAAGTTGAGAGTGATGATCTGAAGGTAGGAAATCGCTTCTCTGTTCTTCAGGATGAATGTACTTCAGTGGCCAGTGCAGGTAAGGGTACTACTGCCCCTGCTAATGGAGGTAAGCACATTCTTGTGGTTGGTGACTCTCAGGTAAGATATATTGACCGTGCTTTTTGTGATAGGAATAAGAAGATGAGAGATAGAGTGTGCTTCCCTGGAGCTGGTGTTGGGGACATTGTCAACAGGCTGGATAATATCATGTCAGGTAATGGGAACAAGCCCATTATCTGTCTCAGTGCTGGTGGAAATGATATTGGGAAGGGTAGGAGAGAAGAGCTGCTAGATAAGTACAGGTCAGCTATAGATTTCATTAAGTCTAAGGGAGGGATCCCAATCATATGTAGCATCTTGCCTAGAAAGGGAGTAGGAAATGAATGGGTGTCTAGGGCAATTGGTGTAAATTGCTGGCTAGACAGATACTGCAAGGAACTTGCAATCCCATTCATTGACAACTGGAACAACTTTTATGGCAAACATGATATGTATGCAAGGGATGGGGTACATCTCTCTGGGGCAGGGGTGGTAGCACTTGCAGACTCGATTGAGAAGGCCATTGGTGAAATGCCTATGATTTTAAACTGATGGAAGATAGAGGTATGGGTGTGTGTGGG